ATCTACCCAGTCAGTTCCTCTGAGAATTTTATAGGTAGTGATCAAGTCTCCCCTAACTCTTCTGTCTTCCAGTGTCGTTTAGTTCCAGTAATCTTTCCTCGTAGCTCATACCTCTCAACTCGGGGACTAGCCTGGTGGCATACCTCTAAACCTTTTCTAACTTCGTTTTGTGTTTGACTAGATGTGGACTCCACGCTGGAGCCGCATATTCCAGTATTGGTCTGACATATGTGTTATATAAGGTTCTGAATAATTCCTTACATGTACTCACCAGGTTGTGGTTGCGGGGGTTGAGCTCAAGCTCTTTGGTCCCGCCTCTCAACTGTCAATCAACAGGTGTAGGCTGAGACACACACGCACATGTGTGCGTGCGCGCGTGTGTGTGCACATGTTACAGCCCCGCTCCTGTGCCAGGTAAGTCCACTACGGGCTCACCATAGCCCGTGCTACTTGGAACTTTTGGTTCCCAGTAGTTGAATCTAAAACAACAACAACAACAACGTGTGTGTGTGTGTGTCCACCTATTTGTACTCATCGATTTGTGCCTGCAGGATCGAGATCTAGTTCTTGGACCCCACTTTTCTAGCCGTTGGTTGTCTAATGCAATGACTCCTGACCTATTTCTCTATTATACCTGCTTTTAAAGTTATGAATGGAGTTAGCCTCTACAATCTGCTCCTTTAAGTCATTCCATTTACTCACTACCCTCACGCTAAAAGAAAACGTTTTAACATCCCTTTGACACATGTGAGTCTCAAGCTTCCATCCGTGCCAACTTGTTCAATTGTTATTCATTGTAAACATTTCCTCTGTTTCTGTGTGTGTGTGGGGGGGAGGAGGGGGAGGGGGAAGAGGGTGTGTGTGTGTGGGGGGGGGGTGGAGTGTGTGTGGGGGGAAGTGTGTGTGTGTGGGGGGGGGGAGTGTGTGTTGGGGGAAGTGTGTGTGTGTGGGGGGGGGGGGGGGAGGGGGAGAGTGTGTGTGGTGGGAAGAGGGGGTGTGTGTGTGTGGGGGGGGAGTGTGTGTGTGTGTGTGTGTGTGTGTGTGTGTGTGTGTGTGTGTGTGTGTGTGTGTGTGTGTGTGTGTGTGTGTGTGTGTGTGTGTGTGTGTGTGTGTGTGTGTGTATAACTACTAGGCCAACTACTGACCATCCCTCAGAAACTGTCTAACTCCCAGGTATCTATTTACTGCTAAGATTTACAGCTACGTGAACTAAGGCTTCTGTTAAGGTGAACTGAACAGGTGAAAGAAAACTTCCAACTTGTTTCTGCTCCGAGCGGGATTCGAAATCGCATCTTACATTGAGATTCAATGTAATTCATTAGTCTCTTTCTCTCTCTCTACCTCTCTCATAAAATATAATATTACGAAAAGATTAACAATTATCAAAACTTTATGGAAAACAAATCCACCGATTTTCAGATTTCATCTGAATCTCACGGGGTAGCTGTAGGGGCCTTTGTTTCTCAAAGGAAGGCAATATGGCCAACCTCAACAAGCCTATGACAGTCGTATACCACCCAATTGTCTTCTTGAAAAGTTGGAAGAAGTTAGCCCCAGACGTCTGGCCTCCAACCCTGGACAGACAGATATACAAATAGACAGACATTCCACACACACGACAGGGTGGGCGTGTGTGTGGAATACAGGTACCCACGCCAGGGGCGGGGTGGGCGTGTGTGGGGAAGACGGGTACCCACGCCAGGGGCGGGGTGGGCGTGTGTGGGGAAGACGGGTACCCACGCCAGGGGTGGGGTGGGCGTGTGTGGGGAAGACGGGTACCCACGCCAGGGGCGGGGTGGGCGTGTGTGGGGACGGTACCCACGACGGGGGCGTACCAGGTACCACGCCAGGGGCGGGGTGGGCGTGTGTGGGGAAGACGGGTACCCACGCCAGGGGCGGGGTGGGCGTGTGTGGGGAAGACGGGTACCCACGCCAGGGGCGGGGTGGGCCGGGTAATGATGTGCCTACCAGTGACGTCACACATTCCTGATTACATCCACTCACGCGTCATCAATATTACAGACCTCTTATGCCTTTGGTTATGTCAGGTTTGGTAGTGGGAATAAATTAACCCAGGGTAAATACTGGCCTTAAGAGTTTCATCTGAAACAACGTACTGGAGTGAACGATATGGAAGAAAATGCAAGATTGAACCAGTGAAGAGCAGAGGTGCCATAGGCACAATCAGAGAACACTGTATAAACATCAGAGCGACTATAAGAAATATTGCCGGAACAACCGTGGACATCTTCACGAGAAAACTGGACTGTTTTCTAAGAGAAGTTCCGGATCAGCCGGGCTGTGGTGGGTATGTGGCCCTGCGGGCCGCTCCAAGCAACAGCCTGGTGGACCAAACTCTCACAAGTTGAGCCTGGCCTCGGGCCGGGCTTGGGGAGTAGAAGAACTCCCATAACCCCATCAACCAGGTACCAATTATAGTGAACATTAAGGCCAAACCCTGCAGGTATATTAGTCAAAATAAAGTATGAAAGCAAAAGTAAACTCTTAGTCTACCTCCACATGGGTAGAGTAGACTGTCTTGGGTAGAGTAGTCTTGGGTACCCCCCCCATGGTGAAGGTACCCTAGACAGTTTACCCCTAGGGTACAACCCTTACATCTAGGGTTCAGGGAGTGGGGGAGGTAAGGTAATTGTTAGGTGAAAGCGCTTAGCCAGTAAGACTATGTAGCATGGATAGTATATGAAGATAGGATAGCAGGGAGGATAAGATGACGGGATAGTAGCGATGATATGATGACGGGATAGGAGCCAGGGTATTAGAGGACTGAGTGGAGGAACGGTGTGTAATCACTTGAACCATTGGAGATCGAACCCTGGCCTGAAGAAGCGATGTCCGCGTTGTTCCAACAAGACCCAGTGAATTCCTTCGTGTGAGGAAGGATATGGTGAACAGGTGGGTGTGGAGGGCAGGGGGTGGTGAACAGGTGGGTGTGGAGGGCAGGAGGTGGTGAACAGGTGGGTGTGGAGGGCAGGGGGTGGTGAACAGGTGGGTGTGGAGGGCAGGAGGTGGTGAACAGGTGGGTGTGGAGGGCAGGAGGTGGTGAACAAGTGGGTGTGGAGGGCAGGAGGTGGTGAACAAGTGGGTGTGGAGGGCAGGAGGTGGTGAACAAGTGGGTGTGGAGGGCAGGAGGTGGTGAACAGGTGGGTGTGGAGGGCAGGAGGTGTGAACAAGTGGGTGTGGAGGGCAGGAGGTGGTGAACAGGTGGGTGTGGAGGGCAGGAGGTGGTGAACAGGTGGGTGTGGAGGGCAGGGGGTGGTGAACAGGTGGGTGTGGAGGGCAGGAGGTGGTGAACAGGTGGGTGTGGAGGGCAGGGGGTGGTGAACAGGTGGGTGTGAGGGCAGGAGGTGTGTGAACAGGGAGTGTCGTTGAAGGAGGTGGTGAAAGGTGGGTGTGGAGGGCAGGAAGTGGATAAGGCAGTGTCGTTGAAGGGCAGGAGGTGGTGAACAGGTGGGTGTGGAGGGCAGGGGATGAGGCAGGGTGGTGTGGAGGGCAAGTGGTAAGGGTGGGTGTGAAGGTAAAGGGCTGAAGGGGTGTATCGTTAAGGTGTCGTTGAGGATGTCTGATAAGGGGAGTGTCGTTGAAGCAAGTGGGTAAGGGGATGTTGTTGAGGTAAGTGGATAAGGCAGTGTCGTTGAGGTAAGTGGATAAGGCAGTGTCGTTGAAGCAAGTGGATAAGGCAGTGTCGTTGAGGAAACTAGGTAAGAGGACAGATGTAACTCTGGCTACGGTGTGGAAGGAAAGTACAGGTCACATCCGACCTTCACTCGTTGTTAGTACCAGCTGTAGTGGGTCGTTTTGGTTGTATTCTACAACTGCAGTGGACTTACGTGGGTTATAATGTATTTTGGTTTACGGGTGGGGAGGGGTTATGGGAGTAAGAAGTGAAGTGACACGAAAGTTTAGTATATTTTTAAATTAACCACTATAGTCCTCTTTGGTCATGTTCATCCGAGCAGCGGCGGCGGCAGCTGTAGTGGGCAGCGGCGACGGCAGCTGTAGTGGGCAGCGGCGACGGCAGCTGTAGTGGGCAGCGGCGACGGCAGCTGTAGTGGGCAGCGGCGACGGCAGCTGTAGTGGGCAGCGGCGACGGCAGCTGTAGTGGGCAGCGGCGACAACAGCTGTAGTGGGCAGCGGCAACGGCAGCTGTACTGGGCAGCGGCAACGGCAGCTGTAGTGGGCAGCAGCGACTGCAGCTGTAGTGGGCAGCGGCGACGGCAGCTGTAGTGGGCAGCGGCGACGGCAGCTGTAGTGGGCAGCGGCGACAACAGCTGTAGTGGGCAGCGGTGACGGCAGCTGTAGTGGGCAGCTGGTGTAGTCTGTGTGGTTCTACAGTGTGCAGTGATCCATGACTAAGGTCGTCTGGACGACTACTGTGTATGGGGGAGGGTGAAGTGTGTGGTCGGCTACCCCCCCCCCCCTCACCCTAGGGACACCAGCGTGGTCAAAATAAAAAAAATAATAAGAATTGTGATTATCTATCAAGTGTAAAGAAGTTTACTTTCCCCCCAAGTGGGAGTGGTCAGCGCACTGCCAGCTAAGACGGACTGAAGAACTCTGGTTTATCACCGCTACGGAGACCAGCCACTTCATTTAGGGACAAGTATGTGAGCTGAAATGTCAAACATCGGCCACAAAACAATGTACTTTGTAACTCAATACACAGCTATTTGCATTCCAGAGTGCGAGCTGGGCCAGTTGGTGGCTGGAGTTGGAAGCGGTGGTGACACGCGGGCTCCGCCTCCCGCAGATGGTGAACCCGAGAACCTGTCCGACTCCGCCCACTTCCTGCCTCATTGGCTGGCGGGACGAGTGGCGACCAATGAGCGCGGGACTAGCGGCAGAGGCGGGGGAGCCGTGGAAGGAAGCACCAATGAGCGCGCGTCTCCCAGAATGGCAGCTGTGTGGCGCAAAGCCCCGCCCCTACGTCACAGCAGCTCTCACTACCTCTCCGGGACTCCATTACTACCGCGGGAGGCGCGACAGCAACACGGTGAGCGAGCTCTCTCAAGGACAGATTCATTCATCTGCGCGTTGAGCATGACCAAGGTTGCTGCTGTTTAGTGATTGTGACGGTGAACTTCCTTGCATTTCTCAGTGGTGTAACTCGTTTGAATGTGAGAGACATAATGGTTCTCGGCCTGGCAGCAAACGTAAGTGCTTCCTCAGGGAGCAGCGTTGGTGGGTCTGGCGGCCCTGTGGTTCCCACTCCGATTGTGGCGTTGCCCTCACTCTCCTTCACCGCCGCCCAGGTGGCCGCCGTCTGCGAGACTCTGGAAGAGAGTGGCGACATGGAGCGACTTGGACGCTTCTTGTGGTCGCTGCCGGTGGCTCACCCGCACCTCCACGACCTCAACAAACACGAGGCGGTGCTGCGAGCGCGCGCCCTCGTCTCCTTCCACGTGGGCAACTTCAGGGAGCTCTACGCGATAATGGAGTCGCACAGATTTTCCAAATCGTCGCACGCGCGTCTGCAGGCACTGTGGCTGGAGGCGCACTACCAGGAGGCTGAGCGCCTCCGGGGCCGCCCGCTGGGGCCGGTTGACAAGTACAGAGTCCGCAAGAAGTTTCCCTTTCCCAGGACCATCTGGGACGGCGAGCAGAAGACTCACTGCTTCAAGGAACGCACAAGATCCCTTTTGAGAGAGTGGTACCTCCAGGACCCGTACCCCAACCCCAGCAAGAAGAGGGAGCTGGCCTCGGCCACGGGTCTCACCCCTACACAAGTCGGTAACTGGTTCAAGAACCGCAGGCAGCGAGACAGAGCAGCAGCTGCTAAGAACAGGTAAGCCGTGTAGTTGTATGTCTCAAGAGCAGCTGCGGCCAACCATATATGTTTTAAGTGTAAAAGTTCAATAGAATTGGGAGTTATCAACGGCCAACGTTGTGGAAGTCTTGGTGTTTTTAACGCTAGAGCTCTTTAAGGATCGATTACGTTATCATAAGTTTGACATGATAAACACGTCACTCCAATTTATCATTAAAATTATGTAATTTGTATATATCTGGTTTGAGAGTAAATTAGAATCTGTGGAGTCCCCGCTCAGACGTAATATAGGGTGGTAATTAGAGCGGATCACTGCGGACAGGCCAGCTAAATATTATCAAGGACGTTAGGCTCTTGCTCAATACTCTCCCCTAACATGAGAGATGACCCGGAAAATCCTCCCGGTGCGACCCACAGTTAATAACAGGCGAGGGACGGTAATCCGGGTTTAACGTGAGTTTAATGCATGCCATAAAGCGGGTTTTGTGCAGCTGGTTCAGTTTAATATATTAGAGGAGCAAATGGCTTTGCAATACTCCCATTGCAATTGAATTATTTATTTCATTATTTATTTCCCTGGCAATTATTTTGAACGTTGACTAACTCTGGCCACATTGGACCGGAAGAGTGACGGATTAAAAACATGAGTTAGATAAAGTGCTATGTAATTATGAGCTCCCTTCTCTAGGTGTTTACCCCTCTCTACATGGCCCACGGGCCCATCATTATGACCCAACCACCCTCCTTGTGTAAACCACCGTAGCTAAACACAGTAACAGTGTACACACATCTCCCCGCCTTTGCTTTCCCCTCTCTCATTACGGCCGTATTGAGGGTGCTCTGAAAGAACAATAGCTGATTACCGCTGAAGAATCGCAAGGTTACATAAAGAACCCTTTTGTTCAACGTCCGCCAGAGACAGCGTCGTCGGATCGACAGGACCGAATTTATTCACCGCTGTTGTTATTATCAGGAAATGTTTGAAGTGTTCGCGTTGTGTCAAGTGGCTTGGGTGCTCTAGGGCTCGGAGCGTGTGTTGAGCGCGGCCCGTATTTCTACAGCCTGGGGCGTCGCGTGCTACCGAAACTGACGCTCTTATATGGGTTGAGTCTTGTGCGCGATCAGTGACTCCAACAGCGTGTAATCGCTTAGATTGTCCAGCACTTAACCAAAGGGTCCAGATGGTGGATTTTGAGCACGGCGTAAGCCGCTGAAAGCAAGCACACGGCTTAGATGTGCGCGAGTTCTGAGCTTTAGATTTTGATCTCATCAACGGCACGGACTCACCTCAGCTCATAGGCGATATTTGGGCGCTTCTGTGAAACATAAGCGTCGGGAGATTGACGACATTGATGAGAGCAGGGGGCGCAGTGGGTGACGTCCTCAGACGTCCGCACTCCAAAGAAAACTGACCGGTTATTATTATTAACTCTTAAAGACGCAGAAGAAATTATTTAATTGATTCCAGCTATATTATAATCATTCTCTATATCGCAAAAATATATTTATAATCAATAAAACGGTATTATTTATTATATGGAATATCTTATTTCATGTGATAATATCATTGGCAATTTTTTTCAATTATTTGGACATTATTTTTCGCAACTAATTTAATGAAGAACAATTAACGTTATTAACTACTATTGCCAGTATTAAAATGATTATTACTTTTTGTTTGACTAAAAGGGAATATCAAAGGGTCCACTCAGCCTCAACAACACCAACATTGTTAACATAATGCAACTAATGTTATAATTACTACTGAAGGAATTATGATAATATGCTGTGCGACTATTATTATTATTATTATTATTATTATTATTATTATTATACAGCAATTATATTAATTAACAAAGGATTCAAATCACATTCCAGCTATCAATTTATTTTTTCGTTATAATTTATCTCAAATATGTCTTCGTATATTTACTTAGTGTTGGAGATAATTAAAAATCATTAATCATGGCAAACGAAGATAATAAGTAACAAAATAATAATAATAATAATAATAATAAAAATAATTATAGCAATATCAATAATAATAATATAAAAATAATGATAATACTATTATAAATAATAATAATAATATTTTTATAAATAATAATAATCATGTAATTAGTATAATAATTAAAATAATTATAATAAAAATGAAATATATCGTAAACTTACGAGAAGTCTTGATGGACTGTGCGAGAAGGGCAGGAGTAGCGGGGGTCACAACGCCAGGTGTAGGAGCAGGAGTAGCGGGGGTCACAACGCCAGGTGTAGGGGCAGGAGTAGCGGGGGTCACAACGCCAGGTGTAGGGGCAGGAGTAGCGGGGGTCACAACGCCAGGTGTAGCAGGAGTAGCGGGGGTCACAACGCCAGGTGTAGGGGCAGGAGTAGCGGGGGTCACAACGCCAGGTGTAGGGGCAGGAGTAGCGGGGGTCACAACGCCAGGTGTAGGAGCATGATAGAGAGGGGCAGAAGTAGCGGGGGTCACAACGCCAGGTACAGGGGCATGATAGAGAGGGGCAGAAGTAGCGGGGGTCACAACGCCAGGTACAGGGGCATGATAGAGAGGGGCAAGGGTAGCGGAGGTCACGCCAGGTGTAGGGAGCATGACACGCACGCTTCCCTCGTCTTGTAATGTGGTATAATTACGCCATTAGCGTAATTAAATAAAAACCCGCATTTTCGTTAGTCAAGATGTAATTCCACGAGGTTGTGTGTTTATCGCTGTGAGGTGTAATGAGGGCTCCTCACTTCTCAGTTATTGATGCTCTCTCTCTCTCTCTCTCTCTCTCTCTCTCTCTCTCTCTCTCTCTCTCTCTCTCTCTCTCTCTCTCTCTCTCTCTCTCTCTCTCTCTCTCTCTCTCTCTCTCTCTCTCTCTCTGACGCGTTCCTTCATATTCATAGAAAATTATTACGGTCACTCAAATCGTCGTTCAAAGACAAACATTATATATATATGCGAACAAGTTTGAATGGTCCCCAAGCATATATGCGACTGAAAACGGAGTCGTGTGTATGTATATATATATATATAAGACATTATTTTTTTACATATCGAGAGCCCATAGGCTAAGCACAGCTGGTGTGAGAGAGTTACGTGATGCCTTACCGTGTGGTGTGCATGGCTGAGCGCTCACTGACCTTGGCCGGCCGCTGCCACCACATCAACAGCACTTGTACTCCTCAGCCGCTAACCCAGCCATCAATAAACGGATAAGTGAATAAATAACCGGCCTAATGACGTGTGGGGAGGATGGGTTGTCTGCTAGATGCAGCCATCACCTTATTTACTTTGATTTATTGCAGGGACCCCCCCCCTCTCTCTCTCTCTCTCTCTCTCTCTCTCTCTCTCTCTCATCTTTATAGAATATTTGCTTATCACCGTAATCATCGATACCATTTTTGCATATATCAAAAGCAAGCATACTTAATGTGTTATTAAAGTTTATTATTAATAATAGTGGTAGTAATATTAGTGGCAAAAATAGTAATAGTAGAAGTTCTCCTCAATTGAAACAACCACAACAAACACTACAGCAATATTTACAAACACTAATCTTCACAGTAGTAGTGACATTGGTCTGGTGTTGGGCTCAAGGCCTACCAACCGCTGCACGATCATTAAGGCCAACACAATCACTCACTGACCAACCAGCATGTATACTGTCGACCTTAATATAGTCCAGCACTAATAAAGTAAACTCATCACGGTATACATCTGACGGAGGCTGTGCATCACGGTATATACCTGACGGAGGCTGTGCATCACGGTATATACCTGACGGAGGCTGTGCATCACGGTATATACCTGACGGAGGCTGTGCATCACGGTATATACCTGACGGAGGCTGTGCATCACGGTATATACCTGACGGAGGCTGTACATCACGGTATATACCTGACGGAGGCTGTGCATCAAGGTATATACCTGACGGTGGCTGTGCATCACGGTATATACCTGACGGAGGCTGTACATCACGGTATATACCTGACGGAGGCTGTGCATCACGGTATATACCTGACGGAGGCTGTGCATCACGGTATATACCTGATGGAGGCTGTGCATCACGGTATATACCTGACGGAGCCTGTGCATCACGGTATATACCTGACGGTGGCTGTGCATCAAGGTATATACCTGACGGTGGCTGTGCATCAAGGTATATACCTGACGGAGGCTGTGCATCACGGTATATACCTGACGGAGGCTGTGCATCACAGTATAAACCTGACGGAGGCTGTGCATCACGGTATAAACCTGACGGAGGCTGTGCATCACGGTATATACCTGACGGAGGCTGTGCATCACGGTATATACCTGACGGAGGCTGTGCATCACGGTATATACCTGACGGTGGCTGTGCATCACGGTATATACCTGACGGAGGCTGTGCATCACGGTATATACCTGACGGAGGCTGTGCATCACGGTATATACCTGACGGAGGCTGTGCATCACGGTATAAACCTAGCGAAGGCTTCGCATCACACCAATAGTTTACAAATAATTATTTATGGCTGGTATTTAAACGAACGTTGAACGGCTTAAGGAATTTGTTGTCAAATCTTGTAAAAACAATGTGAGGGAAGCGTGGTTTAGAGAGGATCGACGAACTTTTTTAGTTTTGTAGCATGTATATATATATTTTTTTTAGGGATGAATATAGGCAAAATTAGTTCTTTTAGGCTTTTGGTAAATTTATGGATCAGCGAATGCCTTATTTTGGCTAAACAAGTTTAATTTTTGTTTTTATTTTCTGGCTGATAAAAATCTGGCAGAAACCGTATAAAACATTTATATTTATTTAATATCTATATTGATATAAACTTAATTATTTGAGAGCTATTTAATAGTTGACTAAAGAGAAGGGTACATTATTTAGTTTCATATTAATTTTGTACTTTGTGGTTCGTCTTGGAATACTGTGGTAGTTGTGGTAATACTGGCAGCACTTAATTAGTAATACTATAATAGGCTGTGTTGGTAATATTGTTAACGGTGGGAGAGTTTGTTGTAGCGG